GGTTTGGTGGCGGTGATGGTGGTAATGGTTGAAAAGGGAGGAGGTCAAGTGATTTTCCAAAGTTCTAAGTGGATGATGTTCTAATAAGGCCAGAATGAGACCATTAAAGACTAATACAATGTTTCTCACAAAGCCAACATGTATGAAATTAGACCCGGTTTTCCCTAAGGTAACAGTTCTTAGATTTCTAACAAGTGTAAAAATCTCCCCAGGAGAGCTTGTTTAAACACAGCCAGCCCCACCCCAGCTCAGGTCAGGAGGTGGGGGGAGGGTGAAAATTTGCCCTCCAAACCGGTTACCAAGAGATGCTGATGCAGGGACCCTGCTGTTCCTGGGACTCCACTCTGAGAACCACTGACGGACAGAAACCTTCACAAGAAGTACATGTCCTGATGCTAAGCAACGAACACATCAGTAAATTAGGCTCAATTCAAGTTTGTCTGAATTTCTTTCTATAAAGATTCTGCAGAAATATTTTAGAGCATTGCATACATTCTTGGGTCCTGCTTAAATGGGAATGGTGGACCTACACATATTTTCCCATTCCCATTTTAATTACTTAAAGATTAATGCTCACAGATTTGTTCCCAAGTACAATGATCATTTCCCTTATTATTCAGTGCTTATCAAAACAGCCCATGCATTGAATAGATCCACACAGAATGTTTTAAGACTCAAGCAAAATCAGGCTGAAAGGAACGATTCGCACAACTTTAGGGAAAGTAAACAGAATAGAGCCACCTCACTGAACAATCAGTGATTATTACTGAACACCTGGAGGCAAGAAAAAAGCCGCCTTTGCATCATTTCTGAATTGGATGGTCCATCGTTCAACAAAAACAAATCAACTGACTTCGTCTTAGCCAGTCTCAGTCTTAGATTCTGAACTTGCTTTCTTTTAGGCTTTTTCATAAAAAGTAACTAGAAACGTCTCTAAGGAGGGGAAAGGCCAGTTCCTCATTTAGACTTGCCTCAAGTTCACCTGCATTTGGCCTGGAGGGTTCCATTGTGTGGAACGTGTTCTTCCGAGCCTTTGCCAGCCTTTGCCCAGCAACTCCCACTGGATCTGCTGACTCCCTTGTCAGGACCCATTTGGAAATTGTCGCCTTCCGAAGAAGACCATCCCATGGGTAGGAAAGGCAACATGCTGGGGCTATTTCCCTCTCACGCTTTCCACTTGTTTAGATCCTGTTGCTACCAGCTTCTCTTGGTTCTGGCTGGCTGGTCTCTCCAGGTCTGAGTAGAATGGGTGGATCATTAATCGGCATGGTTTAAATTTGAGGACACAGAGATTCCTTCCCCGACAGTGTGGGTGGTGTTTCCTAGGTTCCTACAAAGCTTGGGAGGTCAAAGGCTGGTAAAGCTTCTTTTTAATAATCATGTATTTGAGTTTGTCTCTCAGAGAATATGAAGGAGAAGAGTTAGCCTTACCTTTTCTGTTACCTTTTGACTCCTTACCAGATCCATGGGGGTAATCATTTAGGGAGGGCCTCCCAGGAGCTCAATCCTGCAACCACCCAGGGAAGGAGGCCCTCTGATGGCCTTTCATAAACGTGGCCTGGAGGCTGACAGAGAGGGTCACAGGCTAGCTGGCAGTGAGGTGGGGACAGCCCGCAGGTGGTTTACTGGGCTCTCCGCTCTCTGCAAACTGCCTCCCAGAGACCTGCTGTATTTCAAGTTTCTCCAGTTTCGTGTTGAGTCATGTCAGCGGTTACTACTGCTTTAGTTCCAATATTTGAGACTCTGGCCAATCAATAGTATATAATGACCTTTATGTCGTATGGGGCATCATGACTTCCTACTGGCCACAACAACTAGAAATGAAATCCAAAGCAGTATCCTAAACCCTCAGAGGAGGAGAAAGAAGTCACAGGGGCTAAGGGGAAACCCAAGGACTAAGAATTCTGATAAAACTCTTCTGCAAGTGCCTATGGAAACATACTGAACCCTTTATGGTGTTACAGCCTAGAACTTGGACTTGGCTATAAAGGAGAAAATAATACAATTTCCTGAGTGTGTATGTATGTGAAAGTACCTGTATCTTCAGTCCTCAACTCAACCATTTGTTTCTTGGGGGAATGAGGAATTGGCCGCTCCTGTTCAGGACCTGAAAATAAATCTAATATCTCGGGTTTTTTTTAAATGTTTATTTATTTTTGAGAGACAGATAGAGCACAAAGGGTAGAGAAGCAGAGAGAGAAAAGGAGACACAGAATCTGAAGCAGGCTCCGGGCCCCAAGCTGTCAGCACAGAGCTCGATGCGGGGCTCAAACCCACAAATTGCGAGATCATGACCTGAGCCGAAGTCAGATGCTTAACCAACCAAGCCACCCAGGGACCCCTAATATCTCCCTTTTCATCAATGGTCAGAATGAGCCTCTTCATTCTTCTTCAGCAAAGCTGGTAGCAGACTTTCAAGCAGCAGCCAGAAATTATCAATCTAAAGACAAAATCAGTTTAACCCTGCCGTAACCAAAATGTAAGTTTCTTCGTGGGTATCCCCCTCTTCCATCATCCCCAAAACAAGGTACATCACACATTTTTGTTCTACACATGAAGTTTTCTAACTCAGCTCAAAATATTAAAGCAAATTAGTATTTTTAATGTTTATTTATTTTTGAGAGAGAGAGAGAGCATGCAAGTGGAGAAAGGGCAGAGAAAGAGGGAGACACAGAACCTGAAACAGGCTCTAGGCTCTGAGCTGTCAGCACAGAGTCCAAGGTGGGGTTTGAACGCATGAACCATGAGATCATGACCTGAGCCAAAGTTGGACACTCAATGGACTGGGCCACTCGGGAGCCCCTCAGCAACTCAGTATTAAGAATTGCAGATTTCTTTTGTAGGTAAGAGTTGAATTGACTTTAATTTGTATCTAAGTAGTTCCTTGAACAACTCTCCAGTCTAAAATCTAGTATCTGTTAGTTTTCATTCGGCCTTAAACCAGATGAGAACCAGGGAGTAAATATAAGAGCATGCAGAGTCCCCAAAATCAATGTCACAGTATTGTCATGACAACATCATAACATAGGGCTCCGATTGTTTATTGGTGAGAGTAAACCTAAGAGCTTATGAATCCTCTCTACATAGAGTCATTGGACTTCTATGCCTGAAATAGATTGGAAGAAACAAAAGGGACAGTAGCTGCCATAGGCTGTAATGAGGAATAATGAATAAGAATTTGAGAACATATCAGTGTGAGCCCGTTTAGTCATATGCTATAAAAATCTGTAACAAGGATTGTATTCTCCACAAAATTATGATAAACATAGTAACCACTGCATGTCTACTAGTACTATGAGTGATAATCAGCATAAGGAGGCTAGGTCGTCAAGAAAAGATTTACAGCTGTTCAGTGTTCTCTATATCAAGTTGAGGAGGTAAATAATACATTGTAGAAAAAGATCTACTCAAAGTGTTGTCAGTGCAATTAAAATCATAGAGCCCTAAAGAAAATTATTAGTTATCCTTAAAATGTGGCTATTCCAATGTGTTCATTCCCAGTGCATTCCAGATGGCTGAGTTTTGCTTTAGAATTACAGACTTGCTAAAATTATTATTAGAGATCTCAGAATAGGTGGTCAACTACTGATATTTCATCTGTAAACAAGCCATGCACAGTCTGAAACCACTTCCCACATTGCCCATGGCAAAGGAAGATAGTTATAGTATGTGATCCACAGCCCCACTGCAGTCCTGTAAATAATTGAGAGATGACTCTTATGCAATTGTTAGCAGGATGGGTAAGGATCAATGCTTTCCCATGCAAAGCAACTTTCTTCTTACAGGAAACTGCAAAATAATGGCACTGTAGTAAGTCCTTTCCATGTTGCTGTGCGTCAAGTTGTCAAATGGTAGAATCAGTTTACCTTGAGCATGAGAAGATGGTAATTGAGAGGTCATTCTGCTTTAGTGAATCCTAGAAAAACCTCTAATCACAAGAAGTAAGGCATTGGGTGACATCTGGGTTTTTCTTTACAGATTTGCAAGTTCTTTTTCCAAAACACGAACATAGACAAAACCCAGAATGTCTTTTCCAAAATCTTTTACAGCAATGTCTGAAACCGTACTTCATTCTGTAATTTAAATCTTGAGGGAAGGGACATTGTTCTTGTTTTTTTTAATAAATAAATAAATATATATATATCTTAAATATATATTTATGTGTGTATATATATATATATATATAAGCTTTTATTTATTTATTTTTGAAAGAGGGAGACAGAAAGTGTGAGCAGGGGAGGGTCAGAGAGAGAGGGCACACAAGATCCAAAGCTGGCTCTCTGCAGACAACAGAGAGCCCAACACAGGGCTCGAACTCAAGAAATGCAAGATCATGACCTGAGCCAAAGGCTTAACCAACTGAGTCACCCAGCCGCCCCTGTTCTTCTTGTTCTTATATCCTTATATCCCTGAAATACACCAAAGCATAACATAGATAGATAGATAGATAGATAGATAGATAGATAGATAGAGAATGTAAGAAATGTTAATGTATATTTAGTTGTCTTAGAATAATCAAAAGGCATTGAGCTTTGTGGCTTCCGAAAAGTCTCATAGGTCACTAATGTTTTTAAAACATTTTTTGTTTCAATCTGGAAAGCATAATAAGTAAACAGTAAACAGATTTCAACATACAAACTATTCAGATGGGAAGGTTGGCATCACTTACATTATTTATCCTCAAAACTTAAAGGGTACTAATAACTGGTCTCTACCTAGGTCCTGTGACAAATTAGAGGTTTTCATGTGAAATTTCAGATACCTTTTTTCTCACGTCTGTCTCCCTCATTTGCAGCAGACTGTGTGCTCTGTCCTTCCTCACTAAAGATGCAAAAAAAGTGCATGTAAAGTTTTCCCCTGGAAAGGGATGAAGACATACCTGAGGCACAGTGGCACTTGAATTCAGAAACTGAACAACCCCGGTGTGTTCTGAGAACAGCAAGTCCAATGATGTCCCCTGGAAGCTTCTGGCAATGGGGCCTCTTAGCTGTGTGCAAAGGATGGAGCCACCCTGCCCAGAGGTGCAGATAAGAGGCTGCAGGGCCTCTCCTCAGTTCCCCCTAAGGAGTCTGTCAAGGAAGCACTGTGAGAACCGGGAGAATCTTCTCCACTTTGACCAGCAAGCCCCAGACTGCATCTCTACCTCTCCCACTTACAGGAGATTAAGGGGCAATGGCTGTGGGACTTGACATTCACTGCCTCAGCAAGAGACCTTGGACGTGCCCACCAGGAAGGAGCCTGGAAGCGGTAAGGACCCTGCGGGCTCTCCATGTTACCTCTCCAGGAGTCTACCTGGAAGCCCAAGAATTCTTCACACTCCCCATTGCCCTTGATGCTCCAACCAAGATTACCTCCAGATCCCCAAAGGGCCCTCAACACACCTGGCTGTTTGAACTTCTTCCCCTGTCTACGGCCATACCACCCTGAACGCATGCAATCTCATTTGAGCCCCTTCCCCTGCTTCAGCCCATCAGTGGGGAGTCTCTTTCCCAGGCCTCTCTTCCCCAAAAGGAGGCCACTCACCACCCAGCCTTGCCCTATGGCCTCCTGGTCCTCAGTCAATACAGCAAGGAGCCTCCTGCGCTCATTCGGAGCGCTGCAAAGCAAGATAGGTCTCTGGGTTGCCACATTACCCCATAGGCCAGGGGGTCCTGTGATGGGAGACAGCACAGGAAGTCATTGCTGAGGGGACACACACTTTTCAGGACATGTTGCCTCTAAGTAGTTTGGAGAGGAGGGAGATTAGAGGCCTAGTTCACTTTCTTCCTCTAGAGTAGAGGGTCAGGTTAGTGATGGTCTGTCAGGCATTGGATAGATAAAGGCGGCCATCTTGCAAACCCAGGCCATTGAAGACAACCTCTTATGGCTCATTTAAAAGCAGAGAAAGAATGAATTGTTCAAATATCTTATCTTCTCCACCTCCCCCCACCAAAAAGAAAACATCCAGAACATTTTAGCTAGGAGAGTTCATTGCCTCTCCTTTCCAGATGTCTGCTTTGGAATTCGGGGTGGATGTAAGCAAAACTAAAACATATATTTGAAACATGGATTCTGAGAGAATCACATCCAGCCATCTGTGCATGCCTTTATTTGCACTAATGCTATGAAAACTGTCCACTGCTGACTTTTCACTCCCTGTTGCTGTTCTGACACAGCAGACCTGATGGCACATTAATCAGGACACTTTGCTTTACAGCCCCCGAGTCACTTAACATTTATGGGTGAGAGAGTCTTAATTTCAAGAGTCTCCTTGAAAGGCACAGCATTTTGCTGTGGCGTTTGGGGGCAAGGTATGACAGCCACATGCAGTCATCGTTTTCATTTTGAATTGCCAATGACTTGGCCCTGTGGCTTAATTAACATCCACTTAGTAATTGGTTTTGTCAGTCTGAGAAAATATAAAGGCCACAAACGTTCAACAGCTTTTCAAAGAGAAATTCAGAGACAAGGATAAAAAGAGCAAGATGTGCCGTTTAAAGCTGGGAAGACCTTTAAAGGGTCTCTTCTGACAGACTGTGTCTTTATGGAAGAAGCAGGTAGACTGTGTCCCTTCAGAAACTAGCCCTGGGATTCTCAGCATGGTCCCTGGGGATGCAACGGTGGGTTTGCCATCCCTCCCGGGGCTGAAGAGCAAGGAAGAGATCCATGCTCAAGTTCATCCACCATATTTGAGGGTTGGCAAGAAAGCCCTTATTCTATTTGCAAAGTCATGGAGAAATTGTCAGGAATTATTACTGGAGTTGATCCTCAGGCAAAAATTTGCTGTTCTCCCTTGGAGGAATGAGATCCCTGTATGCCTTCTTTGTTGATTTTAACCCTTTTAATACCCCCACCCCCCTCCCACACCCTCCTCGCTCCCACCCCACCCCCCAACCCCAACCTAAATGTATCAACTAAGGCTGAGGACCTTTATAAAACCACACAAGAAAATGCAGATTATTGTGTTAGTGTATCAGTGAGCTATTTCTACACGACAAACCACCCCAAACCCGGTGGCTTAAAACAACAACCAGCAATATTCTTATATATTTATTGGGCATGAGTTGATGTAGGCTGGTCTCAGCTGGTAGTTCCTCTCTGCATATTCCTCATCCTTTTCATGGAACCAAAGTGTATATTCTTCTTCCGGTGGAGGGAGAGGTTCAGGAAGACACTCTTGCAGACTGGGCTCAGTATCCCTCTTCATTCTACTAGCCAAAGCAAGTCACTTGACCAAACTCACGGGTAGGAAATTATGTGTCACCAACACGGGAGAGCACGGGAGTGTTACTTGGCAAAGGGTACAGATACAAAATTTGGTGAAGAACAGAATGATCAATACACATCTTCCACAAGCACAAACCAAAATAAAGGTCTAAAATGATACCTAATTCAGATGTTTCAGAGAAAGGGGAAAAGAGAGTAGTCTCCAAGGAAAATGAAGATGTTTGTTAGAGTCAGTAATGCAAAGTCTAGTAGGGTGTTTGAGGATTTTATTCCTTACCCTAAGAGCAGTCTGAAACCACTGACTGGATGGATATGGCCAGATAAATACAGGGTGGACATGACATTTAGGTGAGAGCAGAATCCAGCAGAACCATTAAAATGTTCAGATATGAGAAGTTAGTAGGTTAGGCTTTGATGACCGCACTGGAGTTAAAAAGAAGTATCTCAGTTTAGGAGAGATTAGGAGGTAGAATCGCCTTGACTTTGTGAATAGTAGACCATTGGGGTGAGGGGGAGGAAGTGGTCAAGAATGACCTCCAAGCTTCTGGTTTGCATCACTGGGTGGCAGATAGCTCCATGCATGGATCTAGATAACCATGTGTGGAAGGGTGAGAGAGGAGAAGAATTGGGAAAAGTGGGTTATAGATTTTTTTTAATTTTTTTACATTTATTTATTTTTGAGAGACAGAGTGAGACAGAATGCGAGCAGAGGAAGGGCAGAGAGAGAAGGAGACACAGAATCTGAAGCAGGCTCCAGGCTCTGAACAAACGTTCGGCACAGAGCCCGATGCAAGGCTCAAACCCACAAACCTTGAGATCATGACCTGAGCCAAAGTTGAACTCTTAACCGACTGAGCCACCAGGTGTCCCTACAGGTCTTGACTATAAGTTTGGGCAGGTTGAGTTTGAGGATCCATGGATCCTCAGAGTGGAGATTTTGAGTACATAGTTGATTAAAGAAGCCATCAGGGATGGAAATATATGAGAGTTCTAAATTTTAAAAATGCTTCCTAGAGCAGCTAAAATCTGTGTCCAGCTCTCATTATAAGATGGAGTTAGTGGACATATAGTTTAAGTAATGGACTCATCCAGCCATTTGCAAAAGATCACAGGCAGGTAATTTTTACTGACAGGTCAAATCTTTGTAAGACAATAACAGAACTAGTTTTCATAAATTCAAAGGAGCAACTTGCAGGGCGCCTGGTGACTTAGTTGGTTAAGCATCCAACTCCTGATTTCAGTTCATCATGATCTCATGGTTGTGAGATCGAGCCATGCGTGGGGCTCCACATTGAGTGTGAGCCTGATGAAAGTTCTCTCTCTCTCTCTGTGCCCCTCTTCCCTGCTCATGCTTTCTGTCTCTCTCTCTCAAAAAAAATGTTTTTAAATAAATTAAATAAACAAAATAATTAATTAATTAATATGTCTATTAAACGATATAAACCATGAGCTAGCACACTATGGCCTATGGGCCAAATTCAGTCCCCTATCTGTTTACATGAATAATTTTACTGAAGCCACACCCACTCATTTGAAAAATGGCCTTGGGCTTTTACAGGGCAATGGCGGACGCCAAGACAGAGTCACTATGAAGACCATAGTGCTCCTAAAGCCTAAAACGTTAACTTCCTGGCAGTTTATTAAACAAATTTGCTGATGTCTGGTATATTCAGTGAGGAAGTGCCTGCCTATATGCCTGTCAGTCCGTCACAACAATCTTTTTTGCCTTATAGATAGACATGAACCCTTTTGCAAAAATACTGATTCTTCTTTTATTATGTGGTTTTAACACATGGCCTGACAATTGGGCAGGCTAATATAGGTGAGAAGGGTCCAATCTACTCTCAGTTCTGAAATCAGCTCAGTGTTATGAACTTCATTCCAAGTTTTTCTTTGTGAACTTTTTTTCTTGCTGTCATTCTCTTTCTCCTTCTGTAATATTCCTTTGAACTCACTCACTCCAAATCTTCTATCACCAAAATACACCTTCTGGAAAAAAAGAAAATCTTTGTAGTTCATTTATACTAAGGTGTGAAGGGCTTTAGGCTTCAGGGACATCTGTGCTCATCTTTCCAAGTAGAGCAGTGTATTCCTCCCTTTTGGGGGAGGAATTCCTCTGTGCACCTATGTCTAAGACACTTTTGCATTTCTTTTACGTTTGTCTGCTTCCAGAGTCCAGACCTTCCTGAGGGCAGAGACCTCTTATTTGCCTTTAATCTTTGTAAGACGATAACAAAACTAGTTTGGGTAAATTCAAAGGAACAGCTTGCGGGGCGCCTGGGTGACTTAGTCAGTCGGCAGGCAGGCTGCCAGGCAGCTTGACTTACAATGTCACTTATCAATCCCTGACTTATTTGCATTTTGACAGAGGACAGGACTTGAAACCAAGCAATGAAGGTGCGTTGGTGGGATTTTAAACATCAGGAAGCAAACAGGGAGATTTTGTGGGTAGGGAGATCTTTCTGGCCCCCTTAAAATCTGTAACAGAAAGCTATCCATCTCACTTAATTTGTCAGTCTTCCCTGAGGCTGAAAAGGGAAACATACATACCACACCTAGGAGAACAAGACTTTCTCCCAGTGCTCTGAAGAAAAGCTAAATATGTTCAAATTAGCAAATGGGGTAATATGATAGGAGAAGATAGGATTAAGTAGGCAGAGAGGGGCAGAAGGATAGGACCTGAGGTCCCTGGCTGGGGGAAAACAGCTATTTTTGAACAATGCTGGGGGTGTCTGACCACAGCAAAGCCCTCCGGCAAAAGGTTCCTCTTAGGAATGTAACAGACCCCACCTACTCCCCTCAGGTTTCCCCCAGGGCTTTGACAAAAGACCTAAGTACGGCCATAGACCACCCCTCATACAATGGAAATGAGCCAATCAGGAATGGACAGCCCAGCACCTAGAGGGATCCGGGGTAGAACCTGGGAAGGAAGAAGGGGGAAACGAAGGGGGAGGGCTGACCAGAACCTTACAGAACAAGGACCCTCCCCTAAAGTCCTGGGGCATTCGCTTTCGAATGTCCCCTCTCTGTAAAGAAAGCTTTTCTACTAGTCTCTCTTTCTAATCTTATATTCGAATAAATTTTTGTCTGCTGTTCATTTTGGGTCCTCTTCGTTCTTCGAAGCGGCGAGGCGACGGATCCTGGGTAAAAAGTCCTGCAACAGTAACATCAGCATGAAAACCAAATGGCAAGGAATTTGAAAATCTCTCTCGAGGAAGAAATCAGTCAAAAACTTTGAATGCCAACCCCTTCCCCTCCACCCCCAAGCCAGATCTGAAGTAGCACAACATAGTGTTAGGAGTTTTAGAACCGAACCCCCTGAGTTTGAACCCCATTTCTGATTCTCTCTGGCAACGTGGTCTCGGGCATGGTTCTTAACTCAAAACCTCAAAATCTG